TGTATATAAAATGTCTGGCACCTAACAAATGCTATGGCAGCCTGTGACAATATATGTTAACATTTTGTTACATATTTCTTTCCCCAGCCATTTTGCAATTAATACAGTCTCTTTCCTCTATGTCTTATTTTGGATAAGAGATATCTTAAGTGTTTTTGAGTTCTCATAACACATGTGAGTAATTGAAATTGATTGAAATTGATGATTGTCTTAGTTTAGGCTGCTATAGCAGAGGGCCCTAGACTGTGTGACTTATAAACAACAGGCATTTATTTCTCACAGTTCTGGAGGCTGGAACTCTGAAATCAGGGTGCCAACATGCCTGGGTTCTGGTAAGGGCCCTCTTCCAGGCAGTCTTGAAGACTGCTGACTTCTCCTTACATCCTCACACGGTGGAAAGAGGGTCTCTATTACAAGGGTACCAATCCCATCATGAGGTCTCCACCCTCATGACCTAAATACCACCGAAAGGTTCTGCTTCCTAATACTATCGTATTGGGAGTCAGGTTTCAACATACGAATTTTTGGAGGACACAAACATCCAGTCCCTTGCTGTGATGTATCTATTCTAAAGGTCATAAAAACTGGTAATAAGACAAGTTAACTGCTCACAGTTACCAATAAAATCATTACATCTGAGAGCAAGGGGAACATAACACATAGTCCCTACTTTCTAATCAGTTCTCAGTCCCCCAGTTTAGTTCAGTAATGATTAACATCATCATCATTGGCATCGGCATCGTCATCTACTGTGGCATTTACATTTGCAGCGAGCACATGTAAAGAAGACATGAACTGAGCCCTGAGAAGCTCAACCTAGTCAACAGTAGGTACATGGTGGTGCCCTAGTTGTGATGGGTTTGACCTCTAGACTTCTAGGGTCACTCAGTGCAGGGTCAGAAATTAGAACACAATGTTTATCTAGAATGAAAACCAACCAATACAAATATCTAAGAATTACCTAAGATGCTATAACACTTGTGCTGGATACAGCAGTGTGATTGATTTTATAACAACATAAAATATATTTGTAACCAATCAGTGCTTCACACCTAGGTTTATTTTAACACTTAAATGTGCTATTCTGATATACAGACAGTAAAAATTTACTCTAGTCACACATATGTATGTCTAATTTGAAATCCTGTGAAGTTACTCAGAATTTCACATTCACCTGTTAAATTAAATATACAATAAATTTCAAATAAATAAATGATTTTGATTAAGTTTACTATACTACTAAAGGGTGAATTATGGGCATCTTGAAACAATAGTGAACAATATAGACTTGCACATGGGCCATATGCTATAATTATACTGAATGAGGGCTACAAATGAGATAGTTGAGGAATAATTTTACCAATGCTTTTATTCTTTTCACTGCAAATAATTTCACCTTTACTCTAGAATAAGACAGGCATGTTACATCTTTGTGCAACCTACATAATATAAAGTATAAAATGTAAACAGCTATTTAGAGTTAGTATTTGTGCAATGCCTTTTGGAAGAATCGGATTTTGACTTTGTAATCAAAATAAAAAGTGAAAACTCTAAAGTGAAAAGAGGAGAAGTGGACAGGGACAACTATTGTGTTAGAGTGCAAAAAGTCCTTGTTCAGCTTCTTGCAAGAGTAAATTCCTTACACAAGGGGAGCCCTTCATTTAACTCAGTTTTGTTACTTCCTGCTCAGTGGATAGTCAGCTTTGTGATTGTACTCTTGTCATGATGTACTAATTATTTGCCAAAAGGCTCTCAGTATTTTTTTTTAATGTAAAATAGTGCGTACAATGGTGGGAAAGGGAGTTACATAAAAAGCCTTTTTGGTTACCCATTGGGGTGCACATGCAGTAAATCTTCCTGTGTTACTTATTTTTGTGAACAACTCTTTCCCTCTCCATTTAATAAACTTAGTGAATGCTTCAGTGCATCCAAAGATTCAGAGCATTCTTTTAGAAGCTGTAATTTAGGCAATGAGCAAATTAATGCTGGTGTTTTGTAAAGAGTCTTATTCCATTGCACAGGGCTTGCAGGTCTCTTTGGAAAAGGAGTTTACATTTTTGTGATTTATGAGAATTACTATATTAGCCATTAGAGTGTGTTTCAGGTGTTTATCCTATTCTCAAGGACGTGTCGAAATATTCAGGTGAAAAATGTAATCACCCACATTATGTCAAGCTTTGTAATGTTTCGGAAAAATCTGGAAGACTAGGAGATTTTTGCAACACCTAGATGCAAGGAACAATCACTGGGTGGAAAACTTGTATTTTATTTGAAGAGTTGGCTTACCAACCAGCAAATGGCTAATTATTATAGGGCTAGTTTTGTGGTATAATACTCATAATGTACCTAACTCACTTCAAACATGACAATATAAATCAAATATAAGGATATCCAGTCTGAGTGACAGAGTGAGACTCTGTCTCAAAAAATAAAAAATAATAATATTAAATTCACTATAACACAAACTTTTTAAAGGTAATTGATCAAAATAGCTTTGAAAATCTAACTGAACACCAACATTTTCTAAAAGGTGTGTTGTTATGTTTCAAACAGTTCAATGCATGCTAGTTACAGAGTTTCTGAAAATTTAACTTCAAATTGACAGCCTTTTAGTGACAGAAAGTTTTTTAATGACCAGGTACAGTTACAGATATTTTCTTTCTATATTTAAAAACACTCTCATTAAATACATTATTGGAGGAAATGTCCTTGTAAGCATTTTTACAAATGACGACTTGTCCATCTTGTCCAAAGGCATTACCCACCCTTTTCTTGTGTACTATTATGGTTATATTATCTCAACCCTCTTCTATCTTTCTCTCAAATATACACCTCTGGGATAGAGGAATCCAGATTCTCATGAAACTGGCTCAGCATGTAGTTAGTTTATCCTCACTCCTGAAAAAAATAGCTTCAACCCTAGAGGGAGGGTATAGATGAGGGTGAGTGTCAGACAAGGAGAAGGGGATATTTTATTTAAACACAAGGGCATAATGAAATGAACCTAGAAGGTTTGTCTTTTACCGTGAAGGACACTATCTATATACTAGCTTGGCATCTCATTTCCCAAGCGAAATGTTATATTCTCTACCAATATGTATTTACCTTCCTTAGATTCAAGGGATCAGGGGGAATATTATGACCAATAATCAGGTCTCCAGTGGAATTTGTGGGAGCATTTTAAGCAATTGCTCATACGTGATTGCTGGCTGTGGGAGAAATAGGGACAAACAAACAGTAAGGGAAGAGAGATAATGTTGCAAGGTTCATTCACTGTGCAGACAATCCAGGTGGGGTACAAAGTCTACAGCTCTTATCTCCTACCTTGTTTGAAATGGAACCTGCAGGTGACATTTTGACATTTTGAGGTTTCTGCCTTCTGCTCTACATCGCCAAACTCCCGCTGCAGTCATCTGGATGCCTCCTAAATAGGTTATGTGGTTGTTCATTATGACACTGAATGATTTTAGGAACACAGGAGAAAATCCTGTGCATGCCACTTCACCCAGAGTCCTGCCAAATTCGCTTTTGAAGATGTTTGAAATTTCATGGTTAATGCTTCACTGCTTTTCCTCAAGCCAAAGATTAAGTTCTAATGCAAATACTCCTGAGGAAGGTAGTTTGTTTACCTGTTATCAGTCATTTACACCTTAGTGGGCATGAATTTGACAACAATATACATAGAAAACAATAAATGTAAAAATAACTTTCTAACAAGTCATTTAAAAACTAAATTATTGAATACATCTTGATTAAAGAATCATCCTTACTATCATAGCTAATATTTATTGCATTCTCATTATATACTAGGTATTGTTATAAGATTTCATGACAACAAACCTGTATGAGATAGATGATTATATCCTCATTTTATAGATGAGACATATGAGGCAAAGAAAGGTTAAAGAACTTTCCAAAAAATCATACAACTAGCAAGTATCTGAGGCAGAAATTTGTAGCTGTCAGTCCAGTTCTAAAACCTACACTATAAACCACTCACCTACTCAATTCCCCTCTTCAGAGGTATGATAACTGGAACATTTGGGAGAAGGAAGGATATTGTGAACCTACCTAAATGATCTCATTTAGTCCTCAAGTAAACTCATGGGTGGGTTTAACCACTTCTATTTTATAGAGGAGAAAACTGAGGCTCATACATATTAAGGTCATAGAACCAGAAATGACAAGGCTAGAACTTGAAACTAAGTCTGCCTTCAAAGCTTATGCATTTACCATGTCCAAAATTCTAATGCTGCCTCTAGTACCACCACCACCAAATATCATATATTGAGTGTCATTCATGTTCCAGGATAGCCCTTATGTCAGGCTAGTTCTACGTCACTATGTCAATGGCTTCTGGGCCAAATCAGCCAGCTGACTGTAAATCAAGTTGTATTAAGGCACAGCTATGCTTGTTCATGCACATGTTGTCCATGGCTGCTTACTAAGAGGCAGAACTGAGTACTTGTCATGGAGATCCTATGGCCGGCAAAGCCAAGAGCATTTATTCTCTGGCTCTGACAGAAAAGTTCATTGACCCTTGCCTTGAATCATCTTGTGATGTATGCATTACTATTCCCATTTCAAAATGAACATGTTGGAATTCCAAAAAATTAGGTAACTTGCCAACCCAATTATTAAAGAACAAGAACCTGGTGAAAAATGGAGGTCTAGAAGTTTCCAGAACCTCTTTGTTTTTCATCTCTTGATGGGCCACCTGACCCAATCCCCAACACTACACAATATGTCCATGTAATAAGTATGAACGAGTACCCTCTGAATCTAAAATAAGATTAATAAATGACCAATAAATTTGTGACTATCACAATCTGGTATAGGAAAACAATACTGAAAAACACCAACTTATAACAGTAATACTGTGGCAAGTAAGAAGACTTCTCTAATAACAGATGGTTTACAATATGGTTTTAAATGTTTGATGCAGGTATTAAGGAGTTGTACATTTTCCCTTTGTGAGAGAGGTGTTAAATTCCTCTTACCTTCCGATAATTTACTGTACTTAATTCCTTGAGGATGGATACTTAAGGGCTTGTCTGCCTTATTCTTAAAGTGAACTTTCATGATATCTCCGACTTCAGCATATAAAGTAGGCCCAAGAAGTCCTGTGAAAACAAAGATTTGAACTATGTCTGTATTCAGGATTACCAAAGGCCCAGCTGCTAAGCAAGACAAACATACAAACAATACCAACAGTGATTGCTGCTGTTCCTCCTGGTCCGGAGGCTGACCTGGTTTTACCAGGTTATTAACTCTACAATACTTGTAGAGAGATAAAAACAGGATGGTAGAAACACTTAGCCTGAACACAGAAGTCCAGAGTGTAAGAGAAATAGTTAGGACCATGTCCTTCCCACCCCAACCACTGTCTTTCCTTAGAGATTACTATCTTTGGTTAAGAAAGAAAAATGTTCATTTTTGATTACTACTGAGGGTGATGTGAAAGAGTGTTTACTTTAGATTTCTCTGAGGTAGGAGAACTCAGGAGACTAAAATGAATTCAGGGAAAAAAATCACACAGCTGTTTGGTCCTGAGGCAAGTTCAAAGTCCCCAAGGCAAGAGTGAGCTTGAGAAGAAAGAAGAGATGAGGTGAGCACAAGGCCCTTTGTGTTATGGTCAGAACTTGGATTTTCTCCCAAGTGATACAGGAAATCACTGGAGTTTTGTGCAATGGAGACATAGTCTGACTGACTTGCATTAAAAGTGCATCCTAGCCTGGGCAACATAGTGAGACCTCGTCTCTACAAAAAAAAAAAAAAAATTATCTGGGTAGCAGCACATATCTGAAGTCCTAGCTACTTGGGAAGCTGAGGTGAAAGGATTGCCTGAGACAGGAGATTGAAGCTGCGATGAGCCACGGTTGTACCACTGCACTCCAGCTTGGGCAACAGAGGGAGACCCCAACTCAAAAAAAAAGTACATTCTGGGAAACTATGGGGGGGAGGGAGAGGGGATTAACAGTAGCAAATATCTGTCTGGGGCTGGGAAAACACCTCTTATCAACAGGGTGTCTGAATGAAACGTAATTGTACACCTAACCCTTAACTGTACCCCACAAAACTATAATAAAAATACTGATTAATTATTAAAAAAAAAAAAAAAAAAAATTATCTGGGTAGCAGCACATATCTGAAGTCCTAGCTACTTGGGAAGCTGAGGTGAAAGGATTGCCTGAGACAGGAGATTGAAGCTGCGATGAGCCACGGTTGTACCACTGCACTCCAGCTTGGGCAACAGAGGGAGACCCCAACTCAAAAAAAAAGTACATTCTGAAAAAAGAAAGTTTATCCTAGCTGCTGTCTATAGATTAGTCTGTGTAGTGTCAAGAGTGGAAGCAGAAAGACCAGATCGTATAGGAAAGAGATGACATTACACTGGGCTAGCACATGTAGCTGGGGCATGTTGAGAAGTGGTTGGATTTTGGACATTTTTGTAGGTAAAGCCAACAAGACTTGCTGATGGATTGGACGTGACTCATGGGAGAAAGAAGCCAAGGATGACCCTGGGTTTTTGACCTGAACAACTGGGTAAATGATGTTATCAGTTACTGCCATGAAGAACACAGCAAGGACAGTAGGTGAGGAGTGCAGGAATCAGGAGCGAGATTTCACTTACTGCATGCCAGGTGCTGTGTTAGGTTCTGGGACTACAGAGATAAATAAGAACACAGTCCCTGTCCTCAAGAAACTTACAAGCTAATTTGAAGACAGACATATATATAGGAGCTACTGCTGGAGTTTGGCAATAGACTACTGAAGCAGTGAGGGTGAAGGACCACTTCTATCTGGGGATTTTGGGGAAAAGTTGACATCTGAGTTAGCACCTGTGACATCATACACAGTCGGCCCTCTGTATCCACGGTTCGGCATCCATGGTTCCATTCACAAATTCAACTAACTTTGTATAGAAAATATTTGAAAAAGTAAAGATAAAAAATAATACAAATATTATAAATTTTAAAATACAGTCTAATAGCTATTTATATAGCATTGACTGTGGATTCAGTATTATAAGTAATCAATTTAGAGATGATTAAAACTATACAGGAGGATGTGTGTGGGTTATATGCAAATACTACATCATTTTATATAAGAGATTTGAGCATCTTTGGATTTTGGAATCCTTGGGTGGTCTTGGAACCAATCCTCAGTGGATACCAAGAGATGCTAGAATATCCCAAAGTGTAGTCTATGGTGTCTCTTCAATGGAATCACCTGGGGTCTTGACGAAAGGCAGATTCCCAAGTACCACCTCAGACTCAATGATCTGAGTATCTGGAGATGGAGCTTGGGCATCTGGATCTTTACATGTGCTCCTTGGTGATTATGGGGTCCTTTAAAGCTTGGGAAGCTATCACAAAAGCCTCATTTCAGAAAGTGACAGGAATCAACTGCTCTCGCTTCCAAGCCATCCATCCGTCATGGGACTGGCATCTGCCCTTTAGGAATCATAGAAGCAGCAGAAGGAAGATAGCAGTAGTCCTGGAGTTCTACCAGTGTTTGCTTGCAGCAGTGATGATGGTTAAAGTAATAACAGGGCTTCCATGTATTGTTCCCCCTAATACATTCAAGCACTGTCAGTTCTTACATTAATCCTCACAACAAATCTTGAAGGTAGATCCTCATTTTATAGACAAGTGAACAGCCTCAGAAAGTCTGGATCTCTTCCCTAATATCACACAGTGAATAAGAGTCAGGGTGATGATTTACACTTAAATCTGTCTATCTGACTCTGGATGCTACCTCTTTCTACTGCAACTCCACCTTGTGTTCATTCATTCAACAACTGTTGAGTGCCCACCTTATCCTAGGCATCAGAATTGTAATGGTGCATCAAAGAGTAAAATAGATACAATCCCTATTTCTATAAGTAGAAACATTTTACACGTTCTATAACTTTATAAGTTTTATGGTAGGAAAATTGGAGTTTAAGCAAAAGATCACAGAAATATTGAATTACAAGCTAAGATAAGTATTGTGAAAGGAAAGAATAGGATACTCTGAAGAGTATTTGACAGAGAAATGTAATCCAATCTTGGAGGCAGGGAGGGAATCAGAGTTGGGAGATACTTTCCTGAGGGACTGATGCTTTAACTGAGATCCAAAGGCAGAGGGGCAAAGGGATGGGCAAGGGAATTCTAGAAAGTGAAAGCAGTATGTGCAAAGGCCCTGAGGTGCCAGAAAATGTGGCCTATTCAGAAGCCAACAGATGGCCATGAGGAAGGTAGAGCTTGGTAGGTAAGATGGAGGGCCAGAAGGTGAGGTCAATGGCATCATCAGAGGCCCATCCTGCAGGACCTTGTAAGTCTCTTAGAGTTTTGCCTTTAACCTAAGAATATCATCAGTTTCCATCAGGGGTGCAACATGGAACAGATTTGGGTTTTGAAATCTCTGCCTGTATTTGTGGAGGATGATCTGGGGGCAACTAAAGTGGAGGTTGAGAAAACAGAGAGGAAGGCTCTAGTGGAGAGATGTTGGTGGCAGAGACTGAGATTATGGTGGAAATGATGAGGAAAGAACACACTAATGATCTATTTAGGGGACCGAATTGACAGGACTTGTGGATGGACTGCATGTGGGGTTGGAAGAAGAGCAAGGTCAGTTGCCATGACTGGCTGACAAGGTTCTGGTTTGGGGAGCTGGGTGGACGAGGGTGCCCTTCTCTGAGCTGGAGGACACTATGAGAGGGCTTTGTTTGGTGGGTGTGGAAGCAGAATCATGCCCCCTCCTGCCTGAGATGTCCAAGTCCCAATCCTTGGGACCTGTGAATATGCTACCTTATATGGCAAAAGGACTCTGCACCACAATTAAGTTAAGGATCTTGAGACTAAGGGATTCTCCTGAGTTACCCAGACGGGTCCAATGTAATCACAAGGCTCTTACAAGAGGGCTGCAGGAGAATCTGAGTTAGGAAGAGATTGAGAGATGCTGTTCTGCTGGCTTTGAAGACAGAGGAAGGGCCATGAGCCCATGAGTACAGGTGGCTTGTCGTCTAATAGGAAAAGGCAAGAAAACGATTCTCCTCTAGAGCCTCCATCCAGAGGCACCTCTGTCAAGACCTTGATTTTAACCCAGTGGAATCCATTTTGGACTTCTGACCCCCAGAAGTAAAACTCTAAGAGAATAAATTTATATTGTCGTAAGCCACTAAGTTTGTGATAATTGGTGGCAGCAGCCATGGTACACTATGATCTCTGGGACAGAGATCCTGTCTCTCTCTACTCCAGTCTTCCCACCCACAGCTGTCCTATGCCTTTTCCTGAACTGCCAGTCCTGGAGCTTATACTGATCTTGTGGCTGAAACTTTTTGTCTGTTTGTTTTCATGTTGGCTCTGCATAGGACTGTGGAGGTCACATAGCTCAATTCTCATTTTAGAGACAGTTAACAAAGCCTGGGAAGTGGGGAGGGGGACAAGGGTGGCTTGCCCAAGGTCGGTCAGTGATCTGGCAGCACTGTGGGACCAGAATTCATATCTCTGGACTCCTGACCTAAAGCTTTATATCTTCCACAGGGCATGTTCAGACCGCCCACTTTTCTAGAATCATCTAGATATCTACACCTTTTTTGATCCCCAACATGTCTGACTGCTGGCTGACCCTCCTCTCTTCTGGCTTTACCCTCAGTCCTGGCTCCCAGTGAAAGACCCACCTGACCACTCACTGAGCAGTTGATGTACCCACCAGGCTGCTGACTGTGCCATCATTCCTTGCTTGGTTGATTCACATGGTTGCAAATGCCAGATTCCCAGAGTAAGTCTCCTAAGTTATTTAACCTAATAAGACTTCTTACTTCAGTGGACAGTTTGGAGTATTATTTATTCAGGCTCCCTTCCTGCTTCTTCAGAATTAACCAAAGCAAAAGGATGTTTTCATAAATGCAAATCAAAGGCCTTCATGCATGTGGGCAAACACATGGTCAAATGTTTTAGAGCTGCTCTCTAGCCTCTGTATCAGCTAGATGGCCTACAGGCTTTCCTACCCTCTCCTCAGTGCCCAAAGCTGGACTGGGGAAAGGATGGCCAACTTCAGGGCTTGGAGAAGGCAGCACAGCATGTTCCCAATTTTGTGAAGTTGTAGAACTGGAAAGGACTGCAGGAGGTCAGCTAATCCAGCCACCTGCTCTTAGGTGAATACTGCATTGCATAACAGGAGGCAGTTGACTCTTGCAGCTATTTTAAACTCCTTTGGGAACAAACATTTCCTAATCTCCCCTGAAAGATGCAGAGCCATTTTAAAGCCTAAGACAGAATCCTGAAAGTGAGCCCAGCTACACCTCCCACCTGTCCCCTTGCCCACAGACCTCATTGGACAGGTATCTTCCGGCCCTGTAGCCTAGCTCCTGCTGCAATTATAGCAGCTTAGCCCCTGCTGCAATTATAGCAGCTTCTCCTGCTGCAGAAGGGAGGCCCACGACTTGTTCAGGGCTCAGCTAGAACCATCCCCAGCAGATGGGTGGAGTACGTCTAGGCTGGAGAATGAGAAAGGCCTCATGGTTAATGGTAGTGTTCAAATCCAGATCCTGTCTGTCAAAATCGGAGGTTTTTCCTGCACACTAGACTTGCCTCAGTCTACAATCGTCCACTACAGGGACACAAAGATGAATGAGATACCACTCCTGCCCTTCAGGAGTTCATCCTTAAGGAACTCTGGGAGTTCAGGAAGTGCCTGCATAAAAAATGGAGGCTGAAATGCTTGGGTTCATATAAAGCAAGTATATTCTGAGATCTATAGGGGTTGACATAAAGATAATGTTTGAAGTGCAAAGGACTTAAACGTAAACCAGAGACCATCCCCACGAATGATCAAGGTCTGCCCCTCATTAATAAGGTTAAACCAAGAAATCACTATAAAACTTCATCACTTGAAGGACTCGACTCACAGCACTTTCCTTTTCGAAAACCACCAATGCCTCCATACTGCTTAAAAGTCTCCAGCCTGGCATTGGTCCTCTTACGGCACTTGGGTAACGTCTCACACAGCAAAGGCATTACAATTAGGTTAACTTAACAAAAGCCACAAAAGGTGCAGCCCCGAATACCTGCCTGTTTCCTTTTTTTTTCCCCCAGGCCTAATGAGTACATTTCCCAGCGCATTTTCCTCTTACCCCCCTACAATTTAGTAGTTCCTAAGTGCTGTTACACTCGCTAAGCTTAGAGCTGGAGCTATGAGAATGAATAGGCTCTGCCATGGATGACAGGAGATCCTTCAACTTCCTACCCACAACTACATTTTATTGGCAACCTCACAGCCTCCTCTGCTGGCCTGGCACCCCACGAAGGTAGCGGCCCTTCTGCCTAAGGCTGGGCCAGCCCAGGCTTTGAATCCCAGCGCTTCCTGCTTCTTCTGAGTCTGGCTTCTTCAGTTATTTTCTCTTCGATGTTTTTATCTTCTCCTTTTCTAAGGGTTTCTTCCCTTAAATATTTTAAGTTCCTGCATTCCTTTTTATAAAACTCCAAAATATTCTTAAAGCTTTTCTTCCCCCTCAGAACTCCCCTGTGTCTCCTCCCGTTGGGAGCCACATTACCAGAAAGAGTTATTCCATGAGTTCCTTCTGCTTCAATGTGCTCACCTTCTGTTCACTCCTTAATGTCCTCTGATCTTGCCCCCACTGTTCCTTAACAAAACATGATCTTTAAGCCCTTATCTTAGTAGTTCTTGGTAGCATTTGACCCTTTGTTTCTAGAATGCCGCATTCTCTAGCTTTCCTCTGCTCTCTCTGGACTGACTTTCCCCAAGCTTTCTGGTGACATTTCTTCCTACATTGTTGCTCCTTTGAGCTCTGTCTTCTGCCATCTCTTCTCTTCATACCCTCTCTGCGTGAGCTCACACCCTCTCAAAACTTAATGTATTGTCTTTGTTCTAACGTCTTCTGAATATTTATATCTAGCTTAAATCTCTCTCCTGAGGACCAAACTTCTACACTCATTCGTTCATTTTACATCTCTAGGTAGATATTCCTCAAACACTTCAAACTCCATATCTGAACTCATCGCCTTCTCTCACAAACTTTCTTTCTTACTGAAAGGCACCATATCCATTCTGTTTTCCAAACCAGAAACCTTGAAGTCAGCCATGATGTCTCCCTCTTCCTCATTATTTACACCCAATTAGCCACCAAGTTTAATTGATATTAGCTTCTAAAACTTTTGGGCTCCATTTAATTTTCTCCCTCTCAGTTTCCCTGCCAACTTCTTACCTGGATTGACACAACAGCTCCATGACTAGTTTCTCCAGTTCTAGACTTGTCTTTCTCTGATCCATTCTCTATATTTGGACAGAATGATCTTTCTAAAACACAAATCTGAGTCTTTCTCCTGCTTAAATCCTCAGTGACACCTTATTTCCCGTAATACAAAGCCTTGACAGGGTCTCTGATCTGGCCTGTGTCCCCATGTATCGCTCCTCTTGTTAATTTATTCCCTGGGGCTTATACTTCAGCTGTGCTGATGCAGCTGTGGTTCCCCAAGTACGCCATGCTCTCTCACCTCTGAACTTTTACACACACTACTTCTTTGGCCTAAAGTGCATCTTTTCCCCAGCCTCCCTCCTCCCGACTTGGCCTTCCAAGACCCTACTCTTTTTTCAGCTATGACTTAGAGACAGGAAGATTTTCCTGACCACTATGTTTTACTACAGAACTCTCATCGTAGTCATCATAGCTCTGCCTTATGACCGTGTTGCAACTGTTTGTCTCCCTATAGGTTGTCTCCAATAGGTAGTTGGCTCTTAGAGTTCAGGCTCCACGTCTTATTCATTTTTATATTCCAGAGTGGTTCTCAATACCCAATTATAAGAAAATTAAATAAAAATATTTAAATGCATGTTTATTTAAAGTTAAATAAGCATATACAAAGCTATTATAAATGAGTGAAGAAATATAGATATTCACAATACTATATATATTTTATACACACACACGCACACACACACACACACACACACACACACACACACACACACACATATATGATCTATTAGAGGTACCAGTAATAACAACTGCAACAATAATGTTGCTAACTTCTATTGAGGGCTTATTATGTGTTAAAATTATTATAAATGTTTTGTACTTATTAATTCAGTTGATCCTCATAAAATCTCTAGGTAGGAATTAGTTCAAGATATTGCAGATATAAGAAGAGAGAAGAGCTAATTCTGCTGGTGGGGACAGGAAATCCATGTAGCTTCAGGAAGAAGAAGTCCCTGGGGAGGTAGTAGTGAAAGCCATGGTTGTGGTTGGGTGAAACCTGGGAAGAAGTTCTGGTGGAGGAATCAAGAAGGAATGATAAGACAAGTCCAAGGAAAACTAGGGGAAGTGGCATGAAGAGAACATGGCAGAGGTTGCTTTAAGAAGAGACAGTGTTAAATGTCCTAGTAACATCAACTGGCAAGAGAACTGGGAAGAAACCAGGGGCTCTGGCATCTTGAGTCATGAGTGATCTTTTCTGAGAGGAATTTTAGTGGACTCACTCATGTTGAAGCAAACTAGGGAAGGAATGTAGGAGAAGAAATGTAAAGAATGATCGAGACCCCTCCTCTTACAGAATATTGGCAGCCAAGGAAAGGAGAGGAAAGGAAAAGGCAGGTAGGGTTGAGGGGAGATTTTTTTTCTAGGTAGGAGTTAACCTGAACATGTTTGGTGGTTGTTAAATTTTGACTGAAGGGAAGATTCCAGCTGAGAAAAGACTAAAGATTAAGGGAGATCAGAAGAGGCAGGACAGACTGGGATGAATATGAGAGGTAGAAGCCTAAGTCTAGGAAAGATGGTGGGTCGTCACCTGGTTGAGGGGAAAGATGGGCAAACTACTGATAAGAGGACCCAACAGGAGGAAGTTCTCCCTTGAGGATCTCTATTCCTGTGAAATATGGTACCATAGTTAAGATATGAGAACCCCATTCAACCTCGTTTCCTTGATAAAAGAAGAGAGGAGGAAAAGGAAGATTTTTTTTTCTTTAAAAAATCATGGCTGTTGGTTGGGTATGGTGGCTCAGGCCTGTAATCGCAGCACTTTGAGAGGGCGAGGTGAGAGGATTGCCTGAGCCCAGGGGTTGAGATCAGCCTGAGCAACTTGGTGAGATCTCGTCTCTACAATAAGTCAAAAAATTAGCCGGGCATAGTAGTGCACACCTGTAGTTCTGGCTTCTTGGAAGGCTGAGGTGGAAGGATCGCCTGAGCCCAGCAGGTCGAAGCTGTGGTGGCTGTGAGCATGCCACTGCACTCCAGCCTGGGTGATTGAGTGAGACTCCAACTCAAAAAATATATATATAGCTGTTGTGTACATCTCATGAAATAAACAGGTGAATAGATGGGAAGATAGATGTAAAAGTATCAGTTGTGTATAGTTCCAAGTTTGTCTTGCCTACTGTTGTGTTCACAGCATCTATTTCAATGCCCCATCCACACCAGATACTTGGTAATAGTTTGTCAGATGAATGAATACAAACTTACACACATGAAAGGTATTTTTTGTTTATTTGTTTTTGGTTTTTTTAGCTATTTTGATCAAGGTTATAAACAAAGCTGACTTCGTGGGCTTGTGACCTGTGCAATTTTACAGGGCCCCATGCTCAGAAGGGTGCCTGTTGGGTTTAATGCTTTGTGGTTATTGCTTTGAGATTTTTAATCATGTGAACAAGGGGCCCTAGGCTTTCATTTTGCTCTGAACCGCACATATTATGCAGCCAGTACTTGTTGAAAACAAGAACACACGTTTCTATAAAATTTCACTAAGTGGGTACTTTAGAGACCTAAGAATGTCAAATTATCCATAGAAATGTATCTTTAAAATTAAAAGCTTACCTGAAATGCTAGATCGTGGCTTTTCTTTCTTAAAATATGCTTCATACTCTCTGTAGACAATTTTCTTAAAAGAAGTTGCCAAAGGATTCAAACTGGAAATAAAATACAAAACTAATTTGAAAGGCATATTTGGCATCTACTTCTCATATCACAAAAAAGCAGATCTCTCATATCCTCAGTCTTCTAGTAGAGTGCCAGTATTTTAATCTATTTCAGAAATCCAAGGTTTTATACATATGAGCAATAAGTTGAAGTTAATGAAAAATTATTCGTTATTATTCTCTTCAAAATAGTCTGTTGTGATAACCATTCTTTATAATCTAGACTGCCCTAATACTGTTTCAGAGAATTAATTTTCAAAAAAGAACCCAAGATCATAGTGTGAACGCAGACTTTAGGTTTCGACCTTAAATGATAAAAAATATGACCAGGGTAAAAGCCCTGGAATTCATATTGGAAACAAACAAATGAAAAACTGTCTTGCAAAGACTAAGCAATTTGTTCAAGGAGATACAGTTGATAAAGAGCAAAGATTCAATAAGGTTGAACCACTGCATTAATCGTGAAGAAATTCAGAGATAGGGCAACAGGGAGAGTACTGGGATGCTTGTTTGCTTTCTGTTGTCTTGCACCTCTATCGATGGGTACATTCTTCCTATCCTTGTCTTACACTCAAAGATGAGGGTAAAAAGGAAGATAACTGGAGAAAAATAGCTTACAAATATATAAATCGGTTGACTAGATTGGCTGCTGTCAATCTAGTTCTGCTTCTTAATGCAGAGATATAATCAGGCCATAACAGAGTGGCAGACCCAGCCATAATCGGGGCATAACAGAGTGGTAGACCCCACACTCATTTACTGTGACTTTGATATAGTACAGTGACTAAGGGCACAGGCTGTGGATTCAGTGTCTTGGTTTGAATACTGTATTTACCCCTTATTAACTATATATCCTTGAAATGTTTACTTAATTCATTTGTGCCTCAGTTTTTACAACTGTAAAATGGGATTAATATGAAAATCTCCCTCACAGAATTGTGTATTAAATAAGTTGATATGTGCTAAGGAATTAGAGCTGACACACTATAAATACTCAATATATGTTAGCTAGTAATATTATCTTTTAAATGTATAAGTTCGTCATTAACCTTCAAGTTTTCCCAGTGAGCAAAAAAGCCAATGCACTGTAATTATAGTAACGCTCATGAGTTTTGTGGAATACAAGAACTGTGTTAATATTTGGGGGCAGAATTAAAGGAGGCATGAGTAAGTACTTTTAGAATGACTAGATATTGAAGGTAGTGGATTCTTGGTTACCGGAAGCATTCAAGTAGAAATTAGCCAACTATTTGGTAAGGGTACTGGTGCTAAGAGCCTAGGGGAAAGTAGGTTAAAACATGAAAGTTGGAAATGAATTGAATGATCTCCTGAGAGTTCTTAGAGCTCAAGAAAACTAGGATTCTGTATGCTAGTGTCCCTAATGTGGGTGTTTATTTTTATTCATTTTAAAATTACAACCAAAATTACTGTCCTCCTTTGCCCCAAATTTTTAAATACAAAAATATAGAGGATGGTATAAAATCTTTACTAAGAAAAATCAGTCTTTGATGTGGAGTAATTTCAAGAGCAGTGTGTTTCCTGATATGTTTTACCATGTGTATTGGATAGTCATACTGAGGTATGTATATTTTGATCTGAACAATTTCTATTGGAAAATAATCTATCTGAATAAAAAGTTAAAGATGATATGAATTCAAACAGTGTGCATGACATGCTTTCCATTTATAGACTATTTAAAGATGATTAGTTCATAACAATAAAATCATATAAAGCTAGACCTCTGGAAGGAAAATATATGTGTATCTTTTTTCAATATCTCTTGGTATAACCGAGAATTTCCATTTCACCTTTTGAGAAACAGTTTTAAGTCTCTTTTTTATCTTAGCCTATCTTTTAAAGCTTTATTTTTCCTTTCTAATCTAATTGTGTATCCGTTTGCGAGGTTCCAGAGGCTTATCTTGTAATTGCGGAGTCTGGAGACCCCATGGCAGCCAGCCCTCCAGGTGGACGATGATTCAAGATAACCATTGAAGCAAGACCGGCTTCTGTACTGCTCCCAGATATTACTCATTCCCCTTAAAATCCTCTTTCCCCTTAAAATCTCCCATCCTTAGCCTAACTTTTGAAATGTTTTATTTGAGGCATGAACCTGGCCATTTCCCCATCTGCCGACTTTTGGAGTAAAGTCACCTTCCTTGTCCTATATCTCGTGCATGTTCATTTTCGCCTGTAAGCAATGAGCAGTAGAACTTGTGGTCTGCAACACTAGTACATACACGTGAATATCAAACAAGTTTCCTTAATGACATCTTTGAAAGCATTCACCGTAGTCCCAGTGCAAGAATAATAGACATAATTGACCTTTAAAAAGCATTGTCCTGCTAATATTAGATGAAATAAGTAGACAGATATCTGCTTTGTGCTAAAGATGGAGTGGTCTAGCAAGTATCATTCAGCTCCAGGGGCAGGACAAGCTATAGCAAATTATTAATTTAAGCAGCTGGACATACAATCAGATTTTCCATTGCACTAGAGTGCAACGGCATGACGTGAGGTTCAAAAATATTGACAGTTTATCTGGGTTATCTTTCTATGGTTTTGGCTCAATAATTGACACCAGAGAAATTACTCTTCCCAGAATTTGGCCACAGAAGGAGAGGACAGAATGACCAGCCATGGCTCCTTGTGAACTTGCCATGTGATCAGACCTTTGCCCTCTGTGGTTCTGCTTACAGTATCCCGCTTGTTATTTTCAGTGTCAACTACAGAAGAGAAAACAAGTTCCCAAGCATAAACACAGCATGCTACAGGAAAGTCAGCATGAACTTTGTGTTCTACCCATGAGCAAGCAAAATTAGTGTTGGAAAGACTGCTATTTTCTTTGAGGTTTTAGCTTACGGTAGTTCCCCAAGGGTGTGGGTGTGTGACCTAGAATTACAACCCTGAAATGCAATATTTAAAATGATTATTTTTGAAAAGGTGAGATTTCTTATTATAAGACCAAGATGGTACGTAATGCCCTCCAAAGAGACCCAGTTACAATGAAATTTTTTAAAAGGCTAATGCTATACACAAAAAGATCTCAAAATATTACTTTATTTCTTGGCAGATTGTTTTGGTTTTGTCATTGTAAAAGAGGAACGCATCTTTCGTAATCACTTAAACTATGATAATTTTCAAAAGTGAGTCATGCTAGGAGGTTTACCATTTAAAAAATAAAAATACAGCTAACTGGAAATATTGAATAGACTCTATGATTTGGTTAATTTTTGGGAAATCTTATTTTTAACCTTTCAATAGAAAATAGAGTTTGCAACTCAAAGATAGAATTTTATAGGACTTAAACCTTCCCTGAGTTATACAAGCCTTTTAATAGTGACATTCCCACAACAGCCAGGGTCAGTCATAGCCCTGGATGTAAGTGAGATTAAAAAAAATGAAGAGTCATACTCAATAGCAGAAGTAAGTCAAATATGAAGTGGAAAAACTTGAAAGTACAAAAGTGTTGTATTTTCATGGATTGGTGATATTTTGAAAGTTATTTATAAGATAGCAAATTGTTTGGCAAGTTATTCAATTATCTGCTTTGGAAAATGAAGTTATGTGAACAATGGAATAAATAATATGTAACTATTTGTTCCGCAAAAATATGACAGACGACTAAAAATCTGGACCAGGAGTTTGCAGGGAGGACTAAGGAGGGTGCAGGTGCCTTGTGCTTTTGAATCAAACGTACTAACAAAACCGCATCGAAAATAAACTCGTTCGAGACCCGCCTGGGCAACTTGGCGAGACCTCATCTCTACAATAAATTAAAAATTTTTTTAAAAAATGAGCCGGACGTGGTAGTGCGCGCCTGTAGTTCCAGCTACTTGGAAGGCTGAGGCGGAAGGATCACTGGAGCCCAGCAGGTCGAGGCTGCGGTGGCCGGGAGCGGCCACTGCCCCCCAG